TTTGAGTATGTTAACTTTAATAATTCAAGCCATTGCAAATCTAAAGTTCAAGTAGAGGACATTAAAAATTCTGAATGTTCATCTTATTCTATGCAGAATAACCCTTTAACCACATCCTTGTGAATCAGCAAATCTATAAATGTAAAGACGTAAGATGAAAACCCTTTTTTGCAACAGTCCCTACCTTCTGCCTTTCCTTTTCATTCCTTCATCTTTCAATTCTGCCTTTTTATTCAACACACAGTAGGAGTGGATCTGAAGATCTTAAACCTAATCTTAGCAGCAAGAAAATTGCAGCTTGGGGAGATGAAGTGATTCACTCAAGTGTAATCAGATGGTTAACAGTGATCAAGGCAACAGGCTCAATCACTGGCTGAAAACCAGATGGTTACATCTGTCAGCAGCTGAAAGAAGGGGAGAGCAGAAGGAAGGGTCAAGGTAGGAGTGCACTGTGATCCTGTGGGGAAGAAATACTAGAACCTGGATTTGTTTTTAAATTTTTGTTGCACGTGCATTTTCTGTGTGGTGTGCTCGTGTGCGTGTGTGTGTGTTATACATTAAGATCCTGAAGCTGATGTCAGATGTCTCTTGAACTTCTAATGTTTGAGGACACGATGGAAACTTGAAATTTTATAACTAATTTCATTTTTAAAATGTATTCCTTGAAATACAGCCTTAATTCCCAATTTAAAATGGCAACATGTTGTCATTTAAATGTACTTTATTATGTGCCAATAATGTTACAGGAATGTGATAGTCCAGACAATTCAACAAATGTCTTCAAAACTAAAAAAGCCAGATACTTTATATGATGGAAGACGGATTCTGCCCTAACCTTTAAAAAAGAAAATCTGAATCATACCCTTACATATTCTGCTAAAGGGGCTACTTTAAAATCCTCAGGTTTGATCTTTGATAAAACTTTGGTTTGTATTTATATAAGTAAAGGAAAGTATATATATATATATATATATATATATATATATATATATATATGTAAATGGTGTATTTTAAATATGACTTTTAGATAATAAACATCATACTATGATATAGTTTTAATTTTTTGTTTGTTTTTGAGACAGGGTTTCTCTGTGTAGTCTTGGCTGCCCAGGACTTGCTTTGTAGACCAGGCTGGCCTCAAACTCATAGTGATCCACTTGCCTCTGCCTTCCTGAGTGCTGGAATTAAAGGTGTGTGTGATATGGTTTTAATCTTAAAAAACATTTTACTCCCAGTTTTAAAATTTAGGTGTATGTATGTGAAAAAGGCTATCAGATCTCCTGGAACTAAAGTTATAAACAGGTTGTGAGCCATCCTGTAGGCCCTGGGAAGTGAACCTATGTACTTTGCAAAAGTAGTAAATGCTCTTAAATGCTGAGCCATCTCTTTAGGCCCAGCTAATCTCATTTTTAAATGTTGGCAATATATTAAATACTTTAAAACTTCTCTGAAGGTCAAACATGACACATCCTATTTATGCAACAAATTTAGCCCACACCTGGCTACTTTCAGGCCGTTACCTCCTGTTATATCCTAATTTAAAATTTAAAAATCTTATTATTGATTCTTTGTTTCACATCACGCACCCTAGTCAAGCTCATTTCTGTCCCCTCATATCTGCCCTTTGCCCTTGTAACCTCCCTCCAAAATAAAAAAGACACACACAACCAGCCATCCAAACAAAAACAAAACAGAGCACAAAAAACATCTCATCATGGAAGCTGTAGTATGTCATAGTGTGTTCCACAGACTACCCCCCTGTCCACACATCTTCACTTGCAAATATTCAGTCCAGTGAGTCATTGGTCTGGTTCAAGATCTCTGGCTTCTGTGACACCATCAATATTGGATCCCCACTGGGCTTCCTCCTGGTCATCCAGTTGTTGCCCGGTGTCATGGAGATCCTGCAGCTTTGGATCAGCAGAGCAGGCCCTTTCAAGAACCCCAAGAATTTGCAGATGATATAGATTTGGGTGGGCCAACTCAAAGCCTGGGTGGTAGCTGAGCTGGTCAAAGTGCTAGCTCTCCCTTACCCACAGCACCACAGCAAGCTCTCCAGCACTCCTCCAGCTAGGTCACCCAATGCCATCATCGGCAGGAGCCAGCGTCAGCTCTCCCACTCTCATGCCCTCAGGGCCAGCTCACCTGCACCTATGCCTCCAGGAACAGCTCCACTGTGCTGCCCAGTCAAAGTGTGGGGCCCACTCTCCCAAGTATTGCAGCCTGCAAGGGGCTAAGCCAGCTCTCCTGCTCTCACACCTTCTAGGATGGCTCACTTGCGTCTTTACTATCAGGGCCAGCTTCACTGTGTTGCCCAGGTGAGAACAGGGGCCCATTTTCCCAAGTTCTACAGCCAGTGAGGGGTAGAGCTAGCTCTCCCACTCTTACAACTTTGGGTCAGCTCTCCCAACTACTGTAGGTGACAAGGCCTAAGGGACCGGGAAGGGTGTCATTGCCTTGCCTGTACCATCTCCCAGCAGATAAGTGGCAGAGTCAGCTCTCCCACACTCTCGCCCTTGGGGCTGGCTCACCAGCACCCCTTCCACCAGGGCCAGCTCCACTCTGCTGACCAGGGGAGGAGCAGGGCCCACAACAGCAGTGCTGCCACTGGTGGGGCCAGCTCTCTAGCAGGCCACAGACAGTGAGGAGAGGGACCAGTTCTGCAGAGCCCCTGGACATTCATGTAGTTCCTGGCAGCTATCCCAACCAGGGATGGCTCCAGGCATTGAGCCACCTGATCTGCTCCCCAGTGACATAAGAACACCACCACCAACCATCTCTACAACTGAATCCCTGACCTGATGTTAGCTGAACACTCCATGGCTCTGGACTTCCCCAGGCTTTGATACCACTCACATGATACCACATGGCCTCTGTTTTGGTTTGGAGATACATACATCTTCCTAGTCATCTAATAACATGAAAGAAAGGTTTGGGTCTTAGACCACACTAAATATTCCCAAAATGTTTTGTACACCACAGTGACCTCTGTCAACACCTTAAGAATATTAGCCTTTTGTACTAAAAATGTGTAGGTACATTACCAAGCAGGCAGAACTCTGTCACATCTAAGCTTTTTTTCAAGTGGGACAGGTTCCCAGTGCAAACTATAGCGGCTTCTTAGACACTTACCCAGAGTTATGACTATTTGCTCTGAGACTCTGCTCTGGCATTTTTATGTCTGTCTCAGACAGCACCACTTAATGGCTACAGTTACATGAAAGCTCTTCAGGGGCATCAGGACTTTTTAACAGGGGAAGGCTAACTGAAAAGACCTAATGCAATCACTGTGAAAGCCGAGAGCTAGCTGGGCAACCAACAAAAGGAAACCGTGCAAGCATTTCAGATGTGACAAAACCGAGGGAAACATCTGAGAGCCAGTCCTGGCCTGTTGGTTGCTCCCAGTGCTAATTAATTAGACTGCGGGGCTTGGAACTCAGATCTCACACTTGGTTTTTCTGGAGCTCACCCCCATGTTCAGCCATCTCTCCATTCAGTTAGTGTTACAAAGGAAAAGCTAGATTTCATTTTACTTTTACTGTCCTGGACAGTACCAGTGGCACTTGATAAAATATTTGTTGAATGGATTTTAAAATTCCTCTGTACTTTTCCTTGAAACAAAAGCAACTATCCATTCAGCAGAGCAAAAGGATAAAACACTATGGTTTCTAGGATGACCTAACTGCACCATGCTGGGGAAAGCTGGCATAGGCTCAGCTCAACCAACAAGAGCTGAATTGTCAGCTTAGGAGCGCTAATTAGCATCTTCTGACGTACAACTGTGTACTACCATGGGCAAACATTTATGTCACATGACAATCTGTGTTTGAGAGAGCAGAGCCAATCAAGAATTCCAGGAAATGTTAAAGAAAACTAATGACTGTATAAGCTCTTTCTGTGAAAACAATGCTTTTCTGTTTCGGATGATGTCATGGTTGGTCGCTTCTACTAACTCTAACATTTTACCATAGTAATATCTAATATATACTAAGGAAGTCTCGATGAAAAGAGAGTCTGTTCTTTGTAATTATACAGTAGAAGCAGGGAGCAATGGGATGCATCTCTGAGCAACAACACCTTCCCCATTTTATTATCCTTTGTGACAAAACAGATTAAGGTAATGACATCTCCTGTACCAAAAATTAATAAGGTGGACTAAGCTTATTTATTCTTTATACAAATTTCCTCCAAGCTCAGAAACTAACATTCAAGATAGTTTTCACGCATATAAAGGATCTAACCTGTAATTAGTAGTTAGTCTCCCACTTAGGACAATAATAACAATTCTATGGATGTACTCGGGTAAAAGAAGAAGATGGATGGCTTTGTTAACGCACAAGAACAAAGTAACAGGCTTAGGAAACCTGGAGCAAGCCTTAAGCTACCCCATCAAAGCTCACGTGCCCCACCTGAAAAAATAGAAATGTTGCTAGAGGGAGGCAGGAACTTTTCTCCTCTCCCTCATCTTGGGGCCATCCAAAACAAAAACACCTCCAGTCCTCTCTGATGCTCTTAGATGTGTATCGTCAGCATAAACCCTGTTGTTTAGGCTGCCAATGTTTTCCCAAACAGCGAGTGATGAACTACAGTCTGAGAATATCAGTGGATATCGCAGGAAAGAGTGCTGCTGAGATCTTGGGGACACAACTCTGCCCTTACCGAGTTTCTGCTTTTGAGAAGGGTGCCACTTCTTTTTTTTTTTTTTTTTTTTTTTAATTGGAAAGGAACCTGGGGTGAAAATCCACCCCTACAACCTCAGATCCTTACAGAACGGGACTGAGGGAAGGTGGGGAAGGCGAGGTCCTTGGGAGCCCAAAGGCCCAAGTGACATGGGGGAGCAACCTGAGGGTCTGCTGCTCCGCCGAGCGGTGGTAGTGTGTGTGTGTGTGTGGTGGGGAGCGGCGTCACACATCGGCCCTGCCCGCTGGCGCGCGGAGGGCTGGCAGGAAGGCACCGAGGCCTGCAGCCTCCGCGGGGCCCGGTGGAGTTGGCGGCCTTACCTGGTTTCTGCGGTACCAGGCGCTCGACAGCGAGCCGTTGCCCGGGCCCGGTGCCCAGTACGTGAAGTTCCGAGACAGCTCGTCCAGGACGGCCGAGGCGTCGTCCCCGGGCCCCGCGGGCGCGGGCAGCGCCGCCATGGCGCCGGCTCTGCGTGTTGGGGCTCGGCGCCGCACTCCCGCCCGCCGCTCCTCCCGCAGCCGCAGCCACTTCCTGCCGGGCCGGCCGCCGCCACCGGCCTCCCGCCGCGCAGGTGCGGTCCGGGCCCGGAGGAGCCGCCTCCTCCCGCGCCGGGGCGGCTACACCTGTCAGCTCAGGGATGAGATCATCTCCTGTGCACGCAGCAAATGCTTGTCCAAGTGCGCGGAGGAAAGGAGCCATCGGTTAACCCAGCCGTCGTCCTTGGCTGTCCCAGTTCTCGCATTTAAAGGTTTAAAATGGTCCACATGTGGAATAAAGAAAAGGTCATGATCTCTCCCTCTCTCCAATACTGTGAGCAGTGTGGAAATTAAGAGCCCATCAACTGACCGCTCCCCAGGAACTATCCGTCGACTAGAGAAGGGGACACCCTATGGCAGCAGTGTATATAGTGACTGGATGGGCTTTCTGTCTGATACCTTCACAAAGAATCGCTGAAAAGGTGCCAGCTGTTGTATATAAAGATTTGGGTTAGGACAGAAATGTTAACAACAACCTGAACTCATACCGGATATTCTGGTCTGACCTGTTCTTTTTTTGTTTTTTAAATCATTTATTACAATTTATTCACTTTGTAACCCAGCTCTGTCCCCCTCCCTCGTCTCCTCCCAATCCCACCCTCCCTCTTCTCCTATGCCCCTGCCCTAGTCTACTGATAAGTGAGGTCTTCCTCCACTTCTATCCGTCCCTAGCCTATCAGGTCTCAACAGGACTGATTGCATCATCTTCCTCTGTGGCCTGGTAAGGCTGCACATTCCCAGGGGGAGGTGATCAAAGAGCCAGCCACTGAGTTCATGTCAGAAACAGCCCCTGTTCCCCTTACTAGGAACCCACTTTTATACTGAGTCTATGACCTGTTTTTGACTCTGTTTCACTACAAATGATCTTTGCCATATCTCTCACTTTGAGCATTCTGTGATTTCGTACTAATACCTGAAGTGTCTGCACTGGGAATTCTTTTGTTTGCAGGGTGCTGAGATTCGTGTTTTGTTGTTGTTTTGTTTTCTCTTTTCTTTTTTTCTTTTTCAAAGAGTTATTTATTTATTATGTATACAGTGTTCTGCCTGCCTGTATGCCTGCATGCCTGCACGCCAGAAGAGGGCACCAGATCTCACTACAGATGGTTGTGAGCCACCTTGTGGTTGCTGGGAATTGAACTCAGGATGGTTAGAAAAGCAGCCAGTGCTCTTAACCTCTGCGCCATCTCTCCAGTTCCTTTTTCTTTTCTTTTCTTTTCTTTTCTTTTCTTTTCTTTTCTTTTCTTTTCTTTTCTTTTCTTTTCTTTTCTTTTCTTTTCTTTTCTTTTCTTTTCTTTCCTTTCCTTTCCTTTCCTTTCCTTTCCTTTCCTTTCCCTTCCTTTCCTTTTCTTTTCTTCTTTTCTTTTCTTTCTTTTCTTTTTTTTTAAGTTTTTTCGACACAAGGTTTCTCTGTGCAGCCTTGGCTGTCCTGAACTAGCTTTGTAGACCAGGCTGGCCTTGAACTCACAGCAATTCGCCTGCCTTTGCTTCCCTGAGTGCTAGGATTAAAGGCTACTGCTTCCAGCTGGTACTTTAGCTTCCACAACTATGACTTTGAGGGAGAGGGGGAAAGAGGAGAGGAGATGAAAAAAAAAAGAGGGAGAGAGAAGGAATGAGAGAGAGAGGGAGGAAGAGAGAGAGAGCTTCAAGGAAAGAAAGCTGCCTAGCTAGGACCTGGTTTCTTGGGGGAAATATGTAGATGAGAGAAGAGAGTGTGAACAAGTCATTAAAATGCAAGTCATCGTGACAGTTGCATCGTTTCTTGCTTGAGTAACCAAAATGTTGAGTCAACAATTAACTATTATAGCTAACTATGCTGAATTTTTTAAAAAGTAATTTATTTCAAATATATACTTTAAAGAAAACTTATCTCTTTGCTGTATTTCGTTATTTTCATAAGTATATGGTGCTGTGAACTGAACCCAATGCCTCCTTCATGTTAAGCAAGCGCTCTACCTCCAAGCTACAGGCCTGCCATATGATTCTTTGATGTCAGTTCCGTCATTCTTCTGCTCTGCCATGCCTGATATCTGCCCACCCTTTATTAGAAAGTGTTATTTTTTGTTTTTGTTTTTCAGAATCTCCAATCTTTCTCCTTTGACTCCATTGGAAGGGAACAGGTCACATGCCTGGTTTTACCTGCATGTGATTCTTGGGCATTTCCAGCCTGGAGAGTGGGATGTGAACTTCTCCAGAAAGAAAAGAACAAGGATGGGGTGGGATGGCAGAGGGGAAGCAGCAGAGCTTGGCGCAATCACTTGTTAGTATTTTCTGTCAGCCAGACTGTAAGTAGGCATGCAGGCTCTAACATGCAAAATACTAAACAGACTGACTCTAGTTTGCCTCCCTACTGACAGTGACAGGCTTTCTGACCCTTATGATCAGCCCCCATAATGTGTGGCACACACTTCATGCCACTTTATTTCTTACATTAGAGCATCAGTTTTGATTTTTAAAAAAATATTTGTATAAAAGCTCCAGTTTTGGAAAAAGACAGCACTTGATGGAGAAAATATGTGACGTGTAGCCTGTGATATGTGGTTTAGTCATCGACAGGTTCCAGAGTGCGGTGCCACCACTGTGGCTGTCCTAGTGTGTGGGAGCGGTTGAAACAAGCAATTCGTGACCAGACTTCCTTCCCACAGGGCTCACGGGAGGCAGCGGGGATGTTTGTGAACTATTTTGGTCCCAGCTTTGTAGGTGGAGCTTTGAAGACTGTTCCTACTTCTGATGGCTTCTTCCTCTCCCAAGGCTTCTTGAGGGCGGGAAGATTTCATTTCACCCGACCTGATCGGCCTCACAACCTGGAGGCTGACTTCCTAATTCTGGTGAAACAGCATTTGAAGCTAGGCTTCACTGAGCACTTGAAGAGTGGGTTCCATTTGGCCCTCTTTATTTGGGGTAATTTAATTGCAAAATTTGTAAAACTTTAAAGACATCTTTAGCAAGACTCAGTTAACACTAGTTTTTTGTTTTTGTTTTGTTGTTATTATTTTTACAATAAGCATCTCCCAAATGGAGGGTCAAAGGTAAAGACTGGTTCCAGTGTCTCACTTCCTTATGCAAGTGAACTCCAGATTGGAGACTTTAAGAGAATGGTAGAACTTCACACGTGTCACAATAATGCTAACCCTGAGAATGGTAGAACTTTACACTTGTCGCAATAATGTCAACCCTACAAGACATGAACCCTACCAGCAGAGACTCGGCAGCTGCCTGTATGCAAATCCTCACGACTCTGCTGGTTTGCTGTGTGGCTTCAACCCAGTAACTTCACTTCTCTGAGCCTTTCAGTCTTTCCTATAAAAGGGAGAGGATGAGGAGCAGGAGAGATGCTCAGTGGTTATGAGCACAGCCTGCTATTCCTGAGGAGCCAAGGTTCAATACCCAGCACCCACACGACAGCTAACAACCATCCACAACTCCAGTGCCAGGAAATCTAAAGCCCTCTTCTGGTCTCCTAGGGTACTGTATGCACATGGTACACAGACATACATGTAGGCAAAACACTCATACATATAAAATAAAAATTTTAAAAATGGCAAAAACAATTTTAAAAAGGAGATAACAAGTACTTAAAACATTGAAAATATTCAATAAATGCTGAAGTATTCAATAACTGTTGGCTGTTGGTACCTATAACCTTAAAATAGGGAAAACAAAACTTCCTTAAATATAAAAGCACAACCGTACAGGAAAATTTGACAAATTTAATTACAAAAACACTGAAAACTTCCATACATCAATAGACAGCATAGCATATAAAAGGTAAGCCATGAACTGAGAACTCTAATTTATGAAATCCACAACTGACAAAGAAATTTCAAAGAATGCACAAGTAGCTTTTAGAGACCAATAAGAAATAAAATAGCAGATAACCCAGTGAATAGTCAAAATTATAAAACAGACATTTTTTCTCAAGAAAAATATCAATGGTTAATAATAACAATGCAAAATATTTACACTCAACAATAGACAGAGAAAATGCAAATTGGAACCTTCAGGAACAACCATGTCCCACTCACTAGTTCAAAAAAGTAAAATTTTAAAGATTTATATATCATAACAGTGCATGTACAAAATGGGGTTTTATTCAGCCATGTAGAAAGTTGAATTAAGTCATTTTCAGGAAAATAGATGGAATCAGAGATTACCATGTTAAGCAAAATAAGCCAGATGCAGAAAAAAATGGCATGTATTTCTCTCAAATATGGAATATTTTTTAGTGTGTGTACATGTGTGTGTATGTGTGTGTGTCTATGATACTTATGAGTGGGTACCTGTCTTAGAGTTTTATTTCTGGGAAGAGACACTATGACCAAGGCAACTCTTTTAAAGGAAAACATTTAATTGGGGCGGTCTTACAGTTTCAGAGGTTCAGTCCATTATCATCCTGGCAGGAAACATGGAAGCATGAAGGCAGACATGGTGCCTGGCAGGAAACATGGAAGCATGAAGGCAGACGTGGTGCTGGAGGAGTGGAGAATTCTACGTCTTGATCTGAGGTAGCCAGGAGGAGACTGGAATTCCACAGTGGCAAAGCATAGGAGACTTAAAAGCCCTGAACCCACAGTGACATACTTTCTCTAACAAGGCCATACTTCCTCCAATAAGGCCAAACCTAACAGTGCCACTCCCTATGGCCAAGTATTCAAACACATGAATCTATGAGGGCCGTACAAATTCAAACCACCACATTCTACTACCTGGCCCCCTTAGACTTGCAGCCATAACATAATGCAAAATGCATGTAGTCCAACTTCAAAAGTCTCCATGGTCTATCACAATCTCAACAATGTTTCAAAGTCTCTTCTGAGATTCATGACATCTCTTAACGGTAATCTTCTATAATATTAAAATAAAAAAGCAGATCACATATCATGGCACAGAATATACATGACCATTCCAGAAGGGAGCATAGTGAGGAAAAACAAGACTGAAAACCAGCTGGGAAAGCTCTAAACTCTATGTCTCCATGCTGATGTCAAAGCCCTCTTCAGATTTCCAACTCC